GGACAGTTTTTCCAATTTCATTGTACTACTGTACTATGTATGACTGTGCAATGACAATAAAGAGTTATCTTATCTTATCTTTTGCAGGGATTCTATTATCTGGGGAAATATTATGCTTATGTTTATATTTCTTTCTTTCTTCTATATTTCTCAGCCTTAAGTGGCTAATTACCCCGAATGTACAGAACGTCTGTAATCCTTTTCTTCTCTTTTTGTTTATATGTATTGAAAAGAAAAAACTCTTAATAAAAAATAATAAAAGTGGTGAGAGTTTGTAGATCTGGTGGAGGTGCATCCAAAGTGTCGGGCAAAATGACTGAAGGCTCCGAGTCCCATGGAAGTCAGATGAGCAGACAGAAAGGAAGCTGAAGGAGAGCCGAGTACGTACGGAGAAGATCACATAAATATGGAGGAGCGTGGTTATGAAGCGCTTTGAAAGGAAGGAGCAGGATCTTGAAATTGATCCTTCTTCTTACCTGAGACTGATGAAGGGACCTGCTCGGCCTGAGTCATATCATTGGCATTCACTAAGAGGCGTGACTAACTCACATCTGCTTAACCTGCAGGTTTATTCCAGCACACAGAGCACCGTGAAGACGAGCGAGATACCTGAGAGTGACGCTCTCAAACCGGAGAGCAGAGAACTGCTTTAAACGGTTTCAGTTCAATCTTCAGAAAATCATCATCGTCCATCTTTATGAGGACCAGGGTGGGGGTATCCCAGCTCCCATTCAACTCAAACACTGTGAGGTAAGAGTGTGTCACAGTAACTTCCTGTTTCATTACGTGCACGTCACTAACAGTATAAGCATTTTAATTTGAAACATCACGACTGTTTTGGGCTCCGATTGGACGCATTAGCTACTTTAATGAAACTAGACACTGAGCAGTCAGCTGCCGGGTCACATGGTGTTACAGGTTTGGCGTGCGGACAAGAGCGCCACCTGCCTGACAGCAGGATCTGACAGAAACGCCAGCAGTACAGACAGCGTGAAGCAATTTTAGATGAACAGACCGTCAGTGATGCTGCTCACCTGGCACATCATCACGGTTAGCGCCCCTGAAATGACCGTCTAACCATCCAGTTACTGGTGACGGTTTACTCAGATTACACGGAGGCCAATACTGAAACAGCTGGAAGAGATTTTTTGAAGAAAACTTTATTTCCTGTTTTCTTGCTCCTGTACCAGCACTGATTCGCCAGTCCTGAACAGTGATGTCATGTCTGGTGTGTTACCATGGGGGTCTTTATCGGGTTTATGTCGGTCAGAGGATCTAGTGTCAGTCCTTCTCATTCCCATTCTCAGATTATCCAGCAGGTTTAATGTCACCTGTTTCAAAGAACTCTCCCGTCTAAGGCGGCGGGCAGGTATGGTCGCCAACATTTTAGTTGGGACATCCTGTATAATGAGCCAAATGTATTTGTCCCTTATTCTACCTTAAATGTCCCATATGCTGACCGTTACCTGCAACGCCACCATCCTGCCCTCTGCAGCTCTCCACAAACATCACCTGCATTTACAGACTGAACTCACTCGTGATGCATTTGACTTTTCATTTTATCTGCAATCATTTAATCATTTATTTTAGCTGAATATTGTTGCTGAACATTTTCTGAACTTTCTGTCCTTAAAGGCCATTTTTTCCTTTACTTGTGTAGCTCTGCAATAACTTGCACTAAAGGTGTTTGAATAACAATAAAGTTTGATTATTGATCACAATTTATTCAGAGCTTTGAGGGAAAAGTGTCTGAGTGACTTGTTATGAAAGCGTCCTCCTGCACTGTCATTGTCACTCGGACTCTGAACCCGCTGGTCAGTTTGGTTTAGTTTCAGCAGCTCGTCAAGCCAACAGCAGGTAAACCTGATAAGATAAAAGTCACATGGCGCTCTGCTGATTTGTGCAGAGTCACCGTCAGGCACAACATAAAGTTGTTTTCCGAGAGTTATAGAGACGGACTCAGAGGTAGAGATTCTAGTTTTATTAATGAGGAACATTATCTAAAGTCTGTACAGCAGCACCAAAACATCATCAGCTTCACGAGGAGTCATAATCAGACGGACACTTCCTGGCCACAAGATCCAGACCAGCCAATCGGCTTCCAGGACTCCATTGTTCATCAGAAGAGAACCAGCATTCGCCTTGCGTTTTTCGCTTTAGGGTTGACGTGATCGCCTGAGTGGGATTACTGCGACCACCCATGATCATACCCAAACTCCACTCATGCTCTGAACACGGGTGGAGTTTTTGGTATGATATGATGCCATCGAGGCGGAGGTCCACCTCTGCTCACTTTAATGACTGAACCGTTTGATCACATTAGAAAACACGCTCACTTTCTGCACGCGGTGATGAATCTGCACCTCCACACGATGTTTTCACCTGTGGTCGTTTTTTGTGACCGTTTCGGTTTGTTAGCACATTTCCGTGTCAGTTTTCCTGGAGGATCACATTGGCCCAACGAGTCGACCTGGACGCAGGAACTTCTGGAGAGGTTTTTAACTATTTATGAGACAGACCTAACTATGAGAGCAGATGGAGATGGATCCTGATTGGCTGGTCTGGAAACAAATCTGACCGTAAATACAAAAACATAATATGAGCGGTGACTCGGCCACTCCACGATCCCTTTCTGTGTAAAACTCCAACATGTCTGTCAGAAAAGCACCTTCAAGGTTCATTTATTACCAAAAATAACAAACGAAGCAAAAATGTTCCCATCTGTCCGCATGGTTCACACGAACGGGGTGCAGTTCCCCTGTTGTCGACTAGATGGGGCTCGAATAAAAGAAACTGAGAACGCAACGATCAAGGAGCCGTTTTCACCGTTGTACCCCGGTTCGCCCCCAAAGCCCCAGTGTCTGTAACGTTAGCACACAGCTGCAGTTGCTTACAGTCGATACCTTGACAGGTGTGCCCTCACCAACAGAAGGTTCTGCCCCCAGACCGTCCCCCCTGTAGTGTTAAGAGATGGTGCAAAGTCAAGCTTGTGGACCTCCACCTAGTTCAGCTTTCCTCCTTCCTGCTGCCCTCTTCGCCGTTGGCCTCGGCCCGGCTCTTCACTGTTATCTTCCACTCGTCCCCAACCTCCTCGCCAATCACTATCCTGGTCTCCCTTCTCTCCTTGTTCGCCTCCTTCCTATCCTCTTCTGTCTCCTTGCCCTCTTCTTCACTGTCCTCCTCTATTGTTTTAACCTCCTGTTTCTCCTCACTGTTCTTCCCGTCTTCCTCCTCATCTTCCACCATCTCCTCCTCTGTCCTACCTTTCTCCTTAGCTTCCTTCCCTTCCTCCTCCATCTGCTCTCTTTGTTCTGACTCCTTCCCCGTCTCTTCCCTGTCCTCTTTCTCTTTCTTCTCTTCATCTTTTTTGTCCTCCTGATTCTCTTCTGATGTCTCTTCTTTCACAGCTTGTTCCTCCTCCTCTGAGTCCTCTTCATCCTCCAGTTCCAGCAGATCTGGAGACTCTGTCTCTGAAGCTTCAGCACCAAGCAGGATCTCAGTCAGCATCGTCAGTAGCTCGGACTGAATCCCGCCTCTTTTATCAGCTGTTGTTCTGTTGTCCAATTCCACATTCTCCTCTTTGGGCCCCACCAGGAGACCCGTCAGGTCAAACGACTTCTTCCAAAGCTGTGGGACTTTATTCAGGTGTGTCAGAGCCTCGACCAACCAGTCAAATAACACCTGACCCACATTTGCTTGGAGGGACTGGGGTGATGTCTCCTTGATCTCCACTGGATTCCTGGCAGTGAACTCTGACCAGCGTGACAGCAGGAAGCGCTGCAGCACCGGCTTCATGCAGATCTCCAGCGGCTGCAGACAGAAGGAGCACCCACTAGGGATGACCACTGGCAGAGTCCCTGAGCTGCTGATGGAGGTGAGGAAATGATCACCCAGGTGCTCCCGATGCCGGTCCAGGACCAGCATTGACTTACTATGCTGAGCCGGGCCGGTGCGCAGCCACACCTTATTAATCCAGAGGTCCAACGCTTCCTCGACCGACAGCCCTTCTGGACTAGCTTCCAGCAAAATGAACTCTGGCAGGTCTCTTTCATTGAGCTTCCTGTTTCCCAGCACCAGAGCAGGTAGCATGGTGCCGTCAGCCAGCACCGTCAGGTACACGGTGAGCAGAGGCAAAGACCCTGTGAATTCCAAGGCCTCTGAGCGGCGAGACTTCTCCTGAACCAATCTCAAGTCCACAAAGATGCAAAGCTCATCCATCGCGGCAACGGTGCTCTTTGTCAGCTTGTGGGCCTGGATGATCTTCTGGGTAAACTCCCTGAAGGTCTTTACTTTGGCTTCCAGAAAACGCGGCAGGATGCGATCCAGTGTCGCAGCCCTGCCAGAACTCTGCACACCAAGTCGGTGCTCCAGCATGAAGTTCACCGCCCAGTCGTAAGAGATGCGGAAGGAGACACTAAAACCTCCTTTCTTCTTGAGGGTGGAAGCTTTGTGGAAGAGGTTGCTCTCTGTGATAGGAAGCTGCTGTTCACGCATGGATAGCACCCAGGCCACCATACGATCCGCACCATTGGTTTGGACCTTCTGCTCCTGCTCTTTTTCCTTTAGACGCTTCCGGGCCTCTTTCAGCCAGGATCGGATAAGCGGAGCCTCTGTTGCAAAGACGCGAGAGGCCTGGCGGAGTCCATCACAGAGAGCGAACAGGGCAATCCTCAGCTGACGGGCGGTCAGGAAATCCTCACGCTCTTTAGAGGCAGGTGCAATGGCTGGTGGTTGGGCATGGCCGTTTGCTGTTGATGGCATATGGAACTCTGGATCTTTGATAAAGTCTTCCTTAACCTCTTCAGTTTCTTCAGCGTCATCCAGGTCGTCCAGTCTCTCATCATCAGAAAATTCCAGGTCCTCCACAGGGCCCATTGCCTCGTCCACGCTGTCCAAAACCTCGTCCACCTCAATCGCTCCACTGCAGCAAAGACAAACTTTTATTAGTAGTTCACATCAATTAATCAAACATTTAACTGTGTGGATCAACACATACCTTATTCTGTCTTTGAGAAACCCAACTTTGATTGATCCTGTAAAAAACAAAAACAGCTCTTTGAAATTCACAGCAATAAAACACCTCCTTTCAGAGTTACCGAGTGAAATACTGACCTTTGTTTAGAGACGACAAGCCGTGATATTCCCAGAAGCAGCTTGGCTGTTTGCACAGGTTGGCTTTGCAGACGATGCAGCCATACACGCTCTCGTGGCGGATGTTCTTCAAGTTGCAGTTCTTGCACCTCTTGGACACGTTACTGATCTTCGTCATCCTGTGCCTTTGTTTGACTGGCTCCTCTGCAACCTCGTTCCTTGTCACGCGCGACGTTGCAATCTCCATTGTCTCGAAGTATTTCTGGGCACACTTGGCGAGCTGATTGCCCAAGCGCTTGCGGAAATTTACCTGAGTAAAAAGACCATCCTGTACCCAGGCGGGAGGGTTCTCTTTGCGGCTCTCACGCAGCACAATGAAGGCGTTGACGATGCTCAGGTTGATCAGGAACCAGAAAAGGCTGCGCCAATGACGGTCCTGAGGGACCCCTCCCAGCGGGTTGCACGCCAGCAGCTGCTTGCAGATGTCGACACCCCGCATGTTCTCCTGCAACAAGCGGAAGGCCATGGGGCGGTCAATGGGGTCCAGTCCACCTACCTTGGTTTGAGACCTTCTCCAAACAGTATCTGGCTCATTTGGAGTTGCATTTGTTGATAGACACCCCATTTCCTTGGTATCCCTCCAGCGAGTGGCTAGCAGGGGGCCAAACTGTCTTTGTAGGAAGTCCCCTGGTTTCTCTAGCTTGCCCTCCTCCCACAGCTCCCTGGGTAGGATGGAGCTGGGAGGAGGGAAGGAGCTGGAGGCATAAATGCCCTGATCCAGAAGCTTCTGCATAAGTGGAACAGACGTGAGCGAGTTAGCAAGGTAGAGCTGGTGGTGTTTTCCCTCCAGACCGTTCACCAGTTCCGGCACTATGGTGAAGCCTGGATCCTGACCAGACTTAACCCCCATCTGTATGAAGAGACGGTGGCAGTAACCAGACTTTGAGTCACAGAGCAGCCAGACCTGAGGTTGAGTCTTCGGGTTCCCTTTGGTTTGGCTGCTGCCCTCTTCCAGGCTGGGCAGCAGCGCCCTGTCGATGGTTAGGCAGCAGTTCGGCCGGTAGGCATTCCACATGGCTTTGCTCAGGATTTCCAGCATCGGCCTGAAGATGTGTATCGAATCGCTGGGATTGCTGGTGCCACGGTACTCGTCTGTGGTGAAGCTGCCCATGCGGATGTTAGTGGCGATCTGCTTGAAGCGTTTAAAGCTCATTGCTCGATAGAAAGTGTAGCTGTTGTCATAGTGACTCCAGGACCAGTAGTGCGACGGGTCGGGAAGGTTTTGGATGCCCATCAGAATAACCAGGCCGATGAAACCTTTGATCTCGTGGGTGGTGACAGGAATCCAGTCAAGGCAGGTGTTGCTGAGGAAACGACAAGTTTTGGCGTGGGCATTGGTCTCATTGGTGATCAGCTCGATGAGTGCTGCCGGGAAGACCAGGCTGAAGTAGTCTATGGCGTCGCTGCTCTTGGACAGGAAGTGGTGAGGGCCGCTGTTCTGCGTGAAGGGGCGGATGGAAGAGTAGGCATCATTAACCCCTGCTGGCTGTTTCCAACCATCTGCTGACTTCCAGGAGGGGTCAGGAAAGTCCTTGTTCTGGTCTAGATCCCTTCCTTTTGAAGATTGTGGCTCCTCACTGTGGCAGAACTGGATGTCCGGTTCAACATAGGCTGGAACAAAACACAAAAAGAGGCTGGATCAACTCTACATTTCAGCAACTTAACAATCTGATTCTTTGGAATTGGGGGCGATCGTGGCTCAAGAGTTGGGAGTTCGCCTTGTAATCGGAAGGTTGCCGGTTTGAGCCCCGGCTCAGACAGTCTCGGTGGTTGTGTCCTTGGGCGAGACACTTCACCCGTTGCCTACTGGTGGTGGTCAAAGAGCCCGGTGGCGCCAGTGTCCGGCAGCCTCCCCTCTGTCAGTGCGCCCCAGGGTGGCTTTGGCTACAATGTAGCTACCATCACCAGTGTGTGGATGTGTGTGAATGGATGTGTAAAGCACTATACAAATACAGGCCATTTCCCCAATTGATATATAAGTTACTTAGATAAATGTTAATGTTAGTTTCATTTCAATCTTGTATTTGTTCCTGAGTAAATCTGTTTGGCTGAGATTAAAGTTCAGCTTCATAACTGCACCGTTTTATTTAATTTTAAAGCCTTACTCTGAGAGCTGTCAGTATGAATTTCACCCGTCATATCCCCTGATGTAAAATGTGCTGTTCTTATTTAAACAGCTGACTCTGAATTAAATCCAACATTAAAAATATTTAAATTCAGGAGGAAACATTTTCACCGGGAACAAAAGCAGTATGTTAATACATGGAGATCCTGAAGGATCCGACAATGATCAGATTATATTTGAAATATTTGTTCAGTTCTCTTCCGAATTACTGCAGCTGTCGGCTGTAAGCTTTGAGTGATTACTAAAATTAAAATAAAAGGGTTCTAACATCTCTCCTGTTTCTACTAAGAGAGATGAAGCGTGTGTTTCTATCATGTAGTGATTGTGTTTAACTGTATGAAGGTTATGAGACATTATGAAACCGATCATATGTAAAAGCAAATTGCTTATCTGGAGCTGTGATGTCATCACCTACACTGTTGTTCCAATTGTAGAACGATCGCGCTGCGTTATCGGGAAGACCGCCAGATTCCCGTGTGAACTTATGAAATATGGACTAGCAAGAACGTGAGTGCAGACTTGCGTACTTGAGTGTTGAGAAACAGCACTAATCTCTGCCTGTTCTGCTGCTCACTGCTGAAAAACACTTAATCACAGCAAGATTATTCCCTGATAACTGCAACTGCACGCTTCCTCTGTGAACCAGTTTAACATTAGAGTCTCCACAGCTGCTACAGAGTAGAACCTGGATCAAACAGTTAAACGCTTTGGAGTAAATTAAGTGAAATCTTATTTTAATTAAAAAACATTTAAAAGGTTAAACATACACGTGCATCAAGAAAACATGCATGAATGGGAGCAGCAGCTCCGTGTTGTTCAGGAAGTCAGAGGCAGAGTGGGGACATTTAATCAACCGGAGGAGCAGAAACCATCTATCAACCAAGGAATCAAAAATCCAGGCTTTGTATTTCCCAGCTGAATCACTTCTCATAACTTCCTGAAACGGAGAAAAATCCAGATGTTCTGGCTCCGCTGCGCAGACAAAAGCCTGTACACTATTCTTCATACAGGAGAAGCTGCGAGGCCGAGGTTAGTTTGTTCACTCCAAAACTTTCACCCTGACGTGACTGACGTTTAGAGCAGAATGCAAAGAACGGGACTGGAGCCTTCAGACTGAGCGACACAGCTGAGGATCCAGGAAGTGCCCAAGTAAACATTTACAGCTCAGGCAGCCGAGAGCCAGAGGACAGATCTTTAACACTGCTTCAAGGTTGGATGAATGGACAAGCCTGGAATTTTCCATGTTGCATCTAAAAAATTTAAACAGCGATTGTTAGGCTGAGTAAACCTCGACCCCTCCCCCGTTGTTCCCCCGGTTGCAGAGACTGGATACCTTCCAGTTCTTTGCCGTCACAGCGATGGATCAATTCCAGGCTCCCCACCAGGAAAAGTGTGATTTAAGAGGAAAACAGAGAGACCTCTGTGAACGCCAAGAACCCGTCGACCTTTCAGCTTCAGAGACGTCAGCTGATTTCCCCCCGAACAGCAGTTTCATCAGCTCCACTTTATCCTCATCGGGGTGTTTGTGCTACTCTGCAGCAGCTGTGGAGACGCTAACGTTGCACCATGAAGAAACCTCTGCTTGACACTTTATTAGCTACACAAGTGTACAGCCACACACTACATGGTGTGTGGCTGTTGTGTGGATGTTATGTACATGTGTGCACATTGTGTGCGTGCTGTACCCACTGAGCTGCCCTTTGTTTTAAACGAGCAGCTGAACGCAGCCTGTTTGGGTGTAGCAGCGATTGTTGCTGTAGACTGTGTTGTTATGGGTGTAGTTGTGGTGGTGCAGTCTTACTCCTGATCCTGCAGGTGGCGCTGTGATGCTCCGAGTTCATCAGCAGGTGATTGGCCATCAGGTCAGCTGTCTGAGAACTGAACTCACACCTGAAGCACTGCAGGTGGAACGGGCTGAGCGGTGAGGAAGAGAAGAAGAAAATGAGGAGGCGGAGCTTCATCGGCAGCGCGAAGACCAACCTGATCAGATCAATGAGGTTCTCACCATGGAGGAGGCAGCCTGTGCAGGGGGACGGCTTTGTCTTTGGAGCGCGGGACGTGGTGGCTGCAGATAAACGATCGAGCATCCATAAATCCAGATTACTGCACGCACTATTGCTAAAGAATACTCCTGCAGTACTCGGATTACTTACTTGATCATGTGAGCAGCATAGGCCCGGGAGCAGCAGCTGCTGTAGGGGCACAGCAGGCAGTGGACGTGAGTCGGATAGTGGGCGGAGAAATCGGAGGCGTCGGTCCCGCACTCCAAACACACCAACCTGTCGTCATCACCTGACCTCCTGCAGGAGGAGCGGAGACACACACACCTGAATCATGTGACATCAACAACACAAGAGGAGGGGCCCAACATCGACGTCACCCGTCACCGTCAGCCTCACCTGTTGCCATGGATTCGACGGCTGCCCAGCTTCTTGGTCGGGGACCGCGGTAATTTTGATGCTGTGGGGTTCTTCTGGATCAGAGACCTCTGTGGCTCCATCTTGATCTTGATTGGCTGGATGAGGGAGGCGGGGTTCTGGAGGAGGCGGCTTCCTCCTGATGTCACCGAGGGCCTTATCTTGCCATAGGTCCTGATGGTCACCTGAAGACACATGGACCAGTAATGCCACCTGTCTGGAGTAAGACATTTAAATCAAGATGAAGGCACTGACCTTTGACCCCGGCGGCAGGCCCTCCAGCTGAGGCGGGCGGCGGAAGCTGCGGTGGTTTTCCAGTTTGTGCTGCATCTTGTCTTTGAGGAAAACAAACTGCAGACGACACCTGTTACAGTGGAAGGCCTGGTTTATCTGGGAACAGAGAATTTCAAATTAAAAGACCCATCCACTTCCACTGCAGGAAGTCTACACCTGGTGTTTGTTCGTCTACACCTGGTGCGTGTGCTTACCTGGTGTTTGAGCAGGTGCTGCCGGTAGCTGACAGGATTTCTGGTCACTTTCAGACAGAAAATACAGAGCAGGAAGCACGAGTCTCTGTGGAAGCTGGAGAAGTGCTGCAGGACGTCCGAGTAGAAGGACGAGCGAAACGAACACACCTGCGAGGTCGTAACACCTGAGGTAAGGATCAGACCTGACCTAGGACGGCCCGTAGGTGGGAAGGGGCGGGTCAGTGGTCACTCACCTGGCAAACGTAAGGCATCTCACCCGGTTTGTGGTTGGACTTCATGTGGTTTAAGAAGAGTGGCTCGCTTTCAAACGCCCACTCACAGATACGACACATACCTGAGAGACAGACAGGTGACAGGTGAGCCCTGAGCCAACGCAGCTCGTCACACATGCAAAAACACAGGCAAGCACTCCGTGTGTGGGTCTTACAGGAGGAGAGGGTGGGGCCGTGCACCTGGTCCTCGTGGCTCTGCAGCTGAGCGTCAGACGAGAACTGACGATAACAGAACCTGCAGCACTTCCTGTCCTCATCGCCGCCACCATTAATCAGCTCTGAGTGCTGGAGCATGTGCTGCATCAACCTGCACACACACACATTAAACATACAGAGCACCGCATCTGTATCCCGCGTGTGCTCAGGTGCTCACCTCAGGTTATTCTCTGACAGGTGAGAGCAGATCTGGCAGGTGAAGGTGGAGGTTTTGATTCCCAGTGGGAGGGGCTTCCTCAGACTCAGATCACCTTCAAATGTGCCATAATAAAACTCCTCCACGCTCATCACCACACGGGTGGAGTCAGCAGAGTTTGTGCTGACAGTCGAAGGGGCGGAGCGAGCGACTGTGGGAGCAGGTGACACACACACACACACGCACAGGTAAGACGTAACAAATCTGAGCACACACAAGCACTGACAGGTTATTGGTGTACCGCTGCTGATGGGAGTGGCTCTGGTGACGCCATTGGCTGAACCCAAGGGGAGGGCGGGGGACCCAGCCACCTTCAGTGTATTGGCTCCGCCCACTTGGGTCACGTGGAGGTTAACTGAAAAACATGAAACTGGTCAGTTTGAGTCGTCCTAAAAGAAGCTCCTCCCACTTTAGGTGTCACGCTCACCGGGTGCTGGTGTGCTGGTGCGAATCGTCAGCGTGGCGGGCAGCTGCATGGCAGTGAAGGTCGAGCCGGGCTGGGCGGGACCTCCTGAGGGGGCGGGGCCTGACCTTACCGGCGACACGCCCACACTGGGCCGAACCAGCTGACCCAGCGACGGGGCTGTGGACAGGAAACGGCTGATTAGCGATCGGCTGACATCGATCACGGATTTCGTCACCAATTAGATCGACCTACACCGGATGAGTGTGAGCGGCTGCACCGTCTGACCCGGCTGCAGGTTCAGAACCAGAGGAGCGCCGGGGTTCACCACCGTCTGCACCGGGAAACCCTGTACATCCAAACACATGACATCACCATGACACAACATGGAGACTCAACAGCTTATCGATCAGATGTAGTCCCGCCCCCAAATCTGCCCCTGCTTCCTGCTCCTCTCAGACTGGACCTAGGGTATCGTGACCGTCTAGAATCTATTCCATTCGATTTGAATCTGGGAAATTTTGCCTATAAAAAGAGAGCTGACACTCGCAAGACTTTATCAAAGGTGTGAGCATCACAGCGAGGCCTTTGTGTCAAAGTAGCTGAAGATAAAACAGAAAAACATGAAGGTGGTTTTTCTGTTCTGGGATTTTATAAAAATATTCTGCAGTACATCAAAAACGAAAGAAAACCATTAAAACCCTTTGACTGCCTCACCAAGAAAAATACAATGAAAAAATTATTTGTTCATATTTTCTATTCCTTTACGTCAATAATGATCACAATAAAAAAAAAAAATTATACACACCTTAGTCTTTTAAATATTACCCTCTACCAAACGGTTGAGATGTCTCTCTATGGTACAACTACATAAAGTTCTACAGACATAACTAGTAGAAAAAAGTAAAGGTTATACTCATTTTGCAAAACAATAACTACCCAATTTTGTGTTTGACCCACTTTATTGTGGTAGTAAAACATCAAACATTGTTGGATTCCATTTCAACAGTGG